GAACGAATATTTCACTAGACCAAATATCGACTATTTCACTAGAGAAATAGTCTTAAGAATTAACGATACATTTATAATTTAGTCTTCTGCAAATGTGTACTAAAAGTTTCATTGGCTCCCTACTAGATCGAATCGATGAAGTAACGGTGACATGGGGTAATTTTCGTAGCCAACCTAACAGTTGTAAGGCGAAAATACCACTAGATTCTAGATTCATAAGTCCCACGCTTGTTTCGCTAATGAGTAATTCAAAATTGTCGAATAATGGGAAAATTTTGTCCTTTCGTAAATTTATGTACTTGAAATCTGTTTTCTGAAATATTTTATGTTTAATATTTAGAGAAATACCTTAATGCGGACCTGAATTATTCAGCCAAAACATTAATAAATATTTACCGAGATCGGGAAAAAAAAGATAGGAAAGCAACGACCGCAGCAACAATGGCGTCAGACAGACAGTAGAAGGGGATAGTTTGTAAAAATAAATGTCAATTAGTTGTCTGTATTTCGTAGAATACCTAAATTGAATTTTAAATTTCGAGTTTATGAATGGTTTATATTGTAAGGTGAACTAAGCGAAATGGTTGTGGTCATTTTTGTGAGGAATTGGTACTCTAATTCCTCACAATAATGAGTGGGAGCATCTACTGCATTAGTAACACATGGAGCATGAAATCCCAATGTAGAGGTCTTTAATTTACCAAAGTAAGATCCAGCCATGTAAGTAACACAAACCGTAACCAACTTTTGTACCAAAGTATTTATTATTTGTTTTAGAGCAAAATAATAGCTTTAAAACAGTGGAGAGAAGATTTGATATAGTAAGAAACATATCTAAATTCCCAATGGCCACTCGTTTGGAAAATAAGAACAAAAATATTAAAGTTACAAACGAAAATCAAAAATTAATCTATGATTTTCCTGTTTTTCATAACATTGACACATGAGTATATACAATTTTTCAATAACAATAACGCCAACAAATAATTTAAAAACGGCAATCAACTAAAGCGCAGATGAGCGTAGAATAGAAATGTCGGAGCAATTCAAGTGACGTCGTGGAAACAATGATTTTCAATTGGTGGGTTACCCGAGGTTAAAATGGACAACCTGTGATGTGTGCAATATTACATCTCCGGCCTCTTTAATCTAAGATCTCATCATTAAACGAATCACTCAAGACATTTTTAAAAAATATATATTTAATGTGTATGTATATTGAAGTATATCTAGTCTCACAGAGGCGCACGTTTTTTGAAATACACTTACAAAAGGTAGTCAAAAAGGCTCTTTGTAAAGCCACTTTTTTTAATGATATAACTACCTCAAAATATGTTTTAATTTATTTATGGAATTTTAAATTTAAAATTAATTTATTTTTTGATCTTATATAATTAACATTTATGTTCATATTACAATTTACACATCGCGAATTCCTGTAACTGAAATTTTGAGCCAATTTTCTAAGTACATCTGCGGAATCAAGTCTAGACATACCTTAAGTACAAAACCTTGTATATTTAATTTTTTATATCAAATATTTTACAAAGAATTAAGAATAAGAATAGCCATATATATGAAAAAGCTAGAAAACAGCAAATTGGGCCAAACCAAAATTTTTAGTTCATCTAACTGTTCACTTACAAAAAAGTTGTATTAATTTAATCTTTTAACAATGGCAAAACAATATTACCCAAAATATGTTAATATATAAAATATTAAATCAATGAAACTTTCGCAAATGAACAGTTCATTTCGAAAATAATTGATAATACATCATTGTTAGAACCAAGGAAAAATATATTTTTTAAACCATTGCACTTAAAGTAAACACATATTTTTAATCTCATTAAATATCAATAAAAATACCCATTGTCTAATATAGGAATGCATTAGACAAATAAACTTCCGACAATAAAGACTAATAAATTTTTAATTAGTAAAACAAATACTGAAACTTAATGTTAATATCACATAATGTGTGTCTTGTCTTCTTTTACTAAATGTCTTTGTTTCACTCACACCAAACGCCTTTTAAAAATATGAATACGAAATATTTTCATTGCTGTGTGCTTTTTCATAATCATCACAGATCTAAGCAACAGCAACATATTTGTATAGTTAAAAACATAACGATAAGTAAAATATTATAAGCCAATGTAAAATTGTGGACTGTGTCCAATATTTAAACAATAAATGTCTTATGTTTTGCTTATTTAAGTATAAAAGGAAAACAAGATAAATGGTTTTGAGTCCAAAAAGATGGGTTTTTATAAACAAGATAATACATCAAATAAATTTGCTCAGACTACAGATATGCTTTAAAAACAGATACAATAACCTCACTTTACTAAGGAGATTGATGTACTACATTCAACTTAAAGATTAGTAATGCAAACGTGTTCACTAAATTCTAAATAACTGCTCTACTGGACTGTCGTTTTTTAAGAATCCCTTTGTTGCAGTATAAGTATAAGCTGCAGGTAGTCACTCATTTTGGAGCACTGTTGAACCGATCAATCCAAATGAGCATTGTCTGTTCTGTAATCAAGTTTGTAATGTAATGCTCCTCACAAGCATTAGAAAGCTCAGTTCAAGTCAGTCGCCGCCCTTAGGAAGCGAACATTTTAAATTTGTAACATTTGTAACATTCCAGTATGGCTGAGTTCTCAAATCATTGCCATTGCTTTCCAATTCCAACGACACTTAATGTGCCATTGGCATTGGTCAACATTGGAAATTCGGTCTGAACGAGGCTTTACAGCGTATTTACTTCTTTAACTTGAATGTATAGCAGTTTTTAATTGTTTATTTAACTATTCGGTAGGTTTTATTTAAAATATAGGAATTGTATCGTGATTAAATATATCTACGGAGTCTGGCTTAGAATTATATACACATGGGAATTTTTTTTATTTAGTAAGGCTGACAGAAATATTTAATTTTTGATAAAAGTTTTTGCAATTTCCCAAACCCAAAATGCAGTAAACATTTTAATAAAATAAGAGAAGTCATATTTTATACAAGGTATATTCGAAAATAAATTGAATCGAGATTCACCAAAATTAAATGTTGGAAAAGATGAGGAGAGCTGTGTGGCGATAATAAATATTATGAACTGAAAACCATCTAGTTAAAAACAGGGAGGTAGTTCAAATCAGACAAATATTTTTTTTAAATAAAGGTGGTGCCACAAAAAATTTTTGGTCGTCCCTATATAATAATTCAGAAACGGTACAATATGTTTTGGATTAATTTCTGTCGGCTTGTGACCCCTAAATGAGCAACTTTTTGCAATGTTTTCACTTCTATACCTTTTGACGTTTCCAATATAGCATTTGATGATATAAAATAGATCTATATTTGATCTTGATACAAGTATAAGATATAAATACGAGTATTAGTCACCGTTTTTTATTAGAAAAAGTGCAGTAGTCGTGTATCTAATCTAATCATTTATGCAGTTTATTATTATAAAAGTTCATAGAAATCTATATAATTTCAGTTCAGGATAATTAATTCATTACAAACTTTTACAATGGTTCAGTACTTTTTATTTTATGAGAAAACTTCTTTGATATTCAATTAATCAAAAAAAAATTGTAAAACATTACTTAATAAATTAATCAATTATTAAAAAGTACATAAACAATAACATATAGTTTATAATACATTTTCATACTACTACTAGCTTTGTAACTCGTTTTTTTACATGTCACTGTCAAGAAACTTACACCCACTGAGAAGAAATTAAATACTTTTGTGATTTAGCGCAAACAAGACGGAGATAGAACCAACGGCGGATTGATCGATATGCTTAGTACGCTAATACACTAATGTGTAGGGCCCCCATTTTTATCGACACAAAATACACCAAAAATTTAAATTGGTTTTTATTTTGTTTCTTTTTATTTTTATCAATAAATTACTAAAATATATATTTTTTTAAATTTGTATTTAAATATATTTAATAGATATTTATTTGGACAGGTAGTAAAACTCCTAAAAATAAATCATTTCACCACAAATAGCCTATGCTGCAATAAAACTGTGTGATCAACATATGTTAATGGGTGGGCCCTCGAAACGTCCTTTGAACATGTTATAGAACATCAGCTGATTTTCATCGATTATTGTGGGAAATTAACGGCGCATATTTGTAATAATAATAGATGTAGGATATATACATGTCGTGTTAAACAGACAGGTCTTTGCCGATGAAAGTAAATAAAAAACGAGAACGCCAACGATCGCACAAAAAACGGTTCGCTTTGAACTGATAATCTGATGGCGTATTCGACTACCTGCACTAGTGCGCACTCAGCTCGCATTTTGCGAGTGCAGTGCAATCATTTATGTTCGGGTTGATTCAGCTCATAAGCGAGCAAATATTTCCCATGTTCGACTACCCGAGCCGAGCGCGGGCAGAGCAATAATTTGTGTTCGGGTTGTTAGCTTGGTTCATCCAGCGTTCGAACTTTTTGGAACTGGATTTTTTTAATAACCTCAATTATGTTTGCTCAGTTAATCTTTTGTTAGCAAAATAAAAGTATGTAAATTTTACCATTGTACCTATTTTCAGTTTAAAGCAAACTTTCGTTTGACGAGAACGACTTATGAAAAAATATCAAATATGTACGAAAATTCCACGTTTTATCCAAAAACAAGAACACATAATAGATGTGACTTAACTTCGGCTGCTGTTTCAATTCTGGCCTTTTTATGGTAAAAACAATTAATAATTGATGATAAATTGTAATTTATCAATTTGAAGGTTAGGTGAAAAAGTAAACAAATAATTGGCAAGTGAAATCGGTGCGAACACGAACGCTTCAACTCGGATTTTCACAGAGCCAGCTCAAATTTTTGAAAATTCGTACTGCCCCAGCGCGCGTTCGAATCGGCACTATCCGCTCTTGATTTTACATTGCAACTGCACTATCATGTTTCGAACTTGATCGGAGCCAGCGCTGGGTAGTCGAATACGCCATGAAACACTCGCCGAGTCGTTGGCTCCTCATCTATTAGTGACGATCTTCAGACGGTAATCGAACACTCATTTTTGGCTGATGTGCACGTGATCACTGCATCTCTTTGGTGCAGTGACTATAGGCAAACTAGTTTTGTACTTTTGACAATTATCGTGTTAATAGAATTTATGGGATATCGTTTGTGAATCCATACAGTTTAGAGGTGACCTTTAGGTGTAACTAGTGCTTGCGTTCATACAGTGAATTAATTTACTGTGCGTTTAAAAAATAATACTTGTTGATGACAACAATAAACTAGTAGATCATTGTAACGTACGGAGAGTGTCGACAAAATGCTTCTCATTAATACGCTGAAAGGTATCCCATAAGAAATAACCTGACACCACGGATGTTTATTAATTTAGTTATAAGATACCATGAGAAAGGGTAACGGGGATCTACTCTACTCCAAATAGCAGAAATTAAGGAAGAAATATTGGTCTAAGATGATCTATTTACGAGCACCAGATCTAAAGCTTTTCGAGTTAGAATAAGTCGTGGTAAAGTATAAAAAACTTTACGACAAGAAAAATTGTATTATTACCATTCTCAAAGGGTTGGAGTAAGATTGCAAAGTCATTATTGATGAAATTATTTATTTTCTGCTACCTGTTAAAATATATGCCTCAACTTATATACATGAATATTAAAAAATAGATGAGAAAGAATCCTACAAAAAAAGAGGAAGCTCCAAAAATGATTAAATCATAGATCCGCCACTGGGTAGAACGTACCTGTTTACAAACAGGAATATGATTTTATTCAGCAACAAGCGTAGCATATTATTGAAGAAAAAATAACTTTAGAACATGAGAACTTTTAGAGTCTTCTCGTTTGACTTTTGACATTTTGATTATTTTATAAATTAAATTTAACAGATAAATGTTTGTTATAACATCAAACTTATTAATAATAACCCCAGCGCCTAGTAACTGTTCATTATAAACACATCAACTATAAGTCAACTATTTTAATATTTGACAGATCATAAAATATAAATTTTTAATTTTAATTAAACATTCCTAAAAGTTGTAATATTGCTAGTAGTACGAAAAACGTAGTATGCACCTCGGCTTTAAGTGTAATTTCCAGATCTCAACATGTATGTTCTCAATCTGTAAATTATACTTACCAATCTTGTTACATAACTATATCAGCCGGTTGCAAAAAAGTTAATTAAAACTTACGAGTCTCTTAAACTTGATCGAAGTTTAAGTCATTGTCACTAGGACAGATCACATTCTTGAAATCTCCAATAAACTTTCTTGCAACCGGCTAATAATTTAGTGACTTATATCAAAAAATACACTGTTAGTAATTGAACATTTTTTTAAATGCATTGTTTTCCAAAACTATTTTTACGTTACAAATAATAGACTAAGTAAAAAGAACTAGATACTATAAAAAAAAATATTGCACTTAGGACCAATTCACTTAATTACAAATTTACTAAAACTCTCCTTTAAATTTTCGAAAAAAGAACTTAGGCGCTTGGTGTATTGAAACATATTTCCACAATTCTCTAATTTTTTTCTCAGATAGTTCTCTACCGTATAAAAATGGTGCGATTTCACCAGATTGATAATACCAAATGTAATACAATTTCTTATCTGACAAAACTAACGATTCAATGTCTGTGTGAGTAAAATTAAGTTTCTGAGTAAGTGTGCCAGTGAGGTGTATATCATCAATCCAAAAATAATCTGACTTTTGAGCCTCTTTGTACAATGCTAAAGCGACATCGGGTGAATAAAGTAAAGTCCAACCCGGACAATAAGTTGGATAAAATTTATCCGGATACTCTGTAAAGGAAACTCTCCACTTCGATCTATAGGATCTTAACACTAAACTATTGTATCTAGGTGTACAAAATAACCCTCTACTAGCACCATGCGGAGATAAGTCGTAAGTCAGAAAATTTTTCATGGTTGGCATATTGACAAATACATCGTCATCAGTCTTAAGTATATATTTGGCTTGTGGACAATGGTAAATGAAATATTTCAAAGACATCACATGTTTATAGGTAAGATTCCTATAGGCATCAAAAAAGCTACCTTGTACAAAATCATTATATACTCTATTTTCGACTTCCAACTCCTTCTGCAACTCCGGGGAATCGACGCCGCCTATCATAAAAACAACTTTGATGTTTTCGTCTTTCTTTCCCCATGTTTCTCTTATTGTTTTCCTTTTAGCAAAATTGTTAGGCGAGGAATGGATTAAAACTAAAAGCAATACAGGAATAGATTCGTTGCATATAAAATTAATGATAGTAAAATTAAAATTAAGATCAATCAACTGATTGTAATCATGCTCCGGTAACTGATAAGACTGATCAATGAAGTTTGTGTCATCCTCCGTAAACAACGTATAGGCTGTTAAAGTTGTAGAAGAAATTATTGTGGTATCTTGAAAGCTTGAGAATTGAATCCAAACTAGTAGACATGTGAAAAATCCTGATAGAAACAGCAGTAACTTCGGCCATCTTTTCTCAAGCATGTTCAGAAGTTATCCTAAAATTAAAAAAACAAACATAAATATGTATAGCAAAATTATGGGAAAATTAGAATTTGCTATGTGGTACTGTTGGAAAAAAAATTCGGTAGTCTTGTCAAGAAACTAAACTGCAAAGGTCAGTTGAACTCGCAACCCTTGCTCCAAAAGTGACAAAACTCAAAATTCATATCTTTTCAGTCATTACCTTGAATGTGATAGTAAACAACCCTACATCAGTAATCAAAATTGGCTTAAAAAAGACTCGTCTTGATGGCGTCTGAGGTTTATGGTCATGGTATGAACACAAAAAATGTGATTTTTAATTGTGTCACTTTTGAAGAATGGTACGAAATGTAGCTAAATTATGGACGTTTGAAATCAAAAGAATTGAATTTAGGAACCCCTCTTTTGTGTGATTTGTCTCACATACTTTGATTTTCTTTTACTATACGGAGAATGGTCGCACTGCGCAGCTTTCTGAGTGCCTTTTAAAAGGAGATAGAAAACTCCGCCATTTTGAACCCTTATTACGTGTTGCCTACATCTTGGCGCAATATTTTTAATAGGTGCGTTTTAATCATCCGCTTCTGCTTCGGAATTGTCGGTTTTCTTGTTTTAATTTTACAAGTTAAAACGACTAAACCGACAATTCCGGAAGCAGAAGCGGATGATTAAAACGCACCTGATATTTTGCTTGCGGCTGTCAGTGTCAATGAATATTGTTTTTTGAGTCACAGATTATTGCTAAAGAATCAGTTAGCTCACTCGGACCAGTTGAAAGTTTCAAAATAAGATCCACTCCAGGGATACAAATTTAGGATACGCAGAAGACAGCTGTTTTATTATAGGCGGTTGTTATATATTGTATTATCCGAGTTGCGCAGTGTATAAACTGGAACATTGAGATCAAAAGTGCCGACGCAGAGTGAGCGATCTGATTCTTTAGCTATAAACTGTTGCATAGGGTTCAAAATGGCCGGGCCCTATGTTGGGCGTGTCGGACCTCTCTCTTGCCTCGTATAGTAATCAAAGTATGTAGATTTGTCTAGATTGTCTGACAGTTACCATGGTAATATTATTTTGTTTGAAAGCAAATTACACATTGTACCTATTTTGTTTTAAGTTCATGACTCACAGTCATAGCTCTCAGAAAGTTTAGATACCGCATCGTGAAAAAATTTTGACCCGAATATGATAGGCGCGATGATGGGTAAATTTTAAGTTGGCACTACTGACAAGACAGAATCGGCGCAAGTTTAGTAATAACATTAAGATCGGCGTTCGACGTTTATAATCGATTTTATTATCTGTTGTGTTGTTTATTTTGTTCTTCTAGTAAATGTTTTATCTAAAACATTATTTTTTAGTTTAATCGTTTAATGTATTATTTTAATAAAAAACGTTTGTAGTTTGGTGTTAAATTTTTACAGGATTTCCAAAATGTCTTGTTGTTTTGTACCTGGATGTACAAGGAATAACATTTCATGTGTAAGTTTTCACAAATATTTGTGTATTTACAAAATCTAATAATTTGTATGTTTTGTTGTAGCATACCAAAAATTTTTAGGAAAGAATAGCTGATAGCCATAGGGAGACCATCGGATCATTTTGTGACGTTAATATAAACCCAGAAAATTGGAGGTATAATAACTGAAACCACAAATGTGTTATTGGCTCCTTGTTAGTGACCTCTGCTATTGTACAATTTTTCCAACACAAGTTCCATGATCCTTTGAACTTGGTTGCACCATATTGATGAAGACAAATAGTCAGAAAAACGTATCGACCGTTACGTTTTTTTTATTCGAAAAATGCCCACTATTACGTTAATAGAACTTTTTCTTTTGTTGATAATTTTTTCAGAATATGGATTTGTCGTATTTAATTTGTCCTTGTACAATCCTTTATAGCTTACTTGTGTTTATTTAAATTATTTATGTACAACTTAATTTATGCCATTGTAATTTAGTTATAACCAGGTAATCTTACAATAGGAATTTTGCGTTATATCGCATCTTTATTCATTGTAAGGACTCCTTAGATTTATACAGGGTGTTAAAAAAAAAGTGTCACAAAATAAAACGGGGGGTAGTATGGGCCAAAATATGCAGAAAAGTCTTAATAAACATATGTCCGCAAATGAATGGTTTCAGAGATACGGAGTGTTTTGTGTTTTGTATCATTTTTTGATTATCTTTTTTCATTCTCAAAAACTTGCTTTTCTTATCGGAGTCTACCGATGTTTTTTCATAGATACTATTTGCAGTTATTATTTTGTTGTGGGTGAATAATTTTATAAATTTTCGTTATGCCTGTTTACACTAATATTGAATTAGCTGACATGCATTTTATGTACGGTCGTGCAAATGGCAATGCATTGAAATGGAGGGAGGGCACTTTGAACATCTCATTTAACTCTATGTTGTTATTGATTGTTTATAAATATCATTGTTTTTTTATAATAATAAAAAATTGTTATAAACACAAAATGGTCCGTATCTCCGAAACCGTTAATTTGCGGTCATATATTTATTAAGACTTTTCTGCTTATTTTGGGTCATACTATTCACCATTTCATTTTGTGACTTTTTTTTAATACCCTGTATAGCTTATAAAAATTACACACTGGTAACATTAATTTAAGACTTTGAATGTATATCGTCAAACTAGACCTTTAGATATATTCGATAAAATCATTTATGAAACAAATTTTTAATATTTTTTCGCATTAAAAAAACTTGAAAATATAGTGTATTGTGTAAAGAAACAATAGAATGTACAATAGAATATTTGAAAGTATGACTAAATCAAACGAACATTTATAGACCAATGTCATTATTGTGTACTTTTGATTATTGTTCTTTGCAAATGCATTTATTTATCTATATCCTGGATAATATTTTACAATATCATCAAAGTTTTATTAATAATAATTGAATGGTTATTAACTTATGCTTAATTGAATATATTTCTGTTCATGTTTTTGATAACCAAGAGCAAGTAGATGCTATATCTATATGTAAAAAGTTCTAAGGCTTTGGATAAGGTTAATTTACATGAACATGGTCTCATAATTGTTTAGTTTAGGTTTTTCTAGTGGGGTTATTATTTTTAATTACAAACCATATTTTCAATTACTGATGTCTAAAAATATGCTCGTGTTCAAAGTGTTGTTTTTAATTACAAACCATATTTTCAATTACTGATAATGTCTCCAAATATGCTCGTGTTCAAAGTGTAAAAGATTGTAACGAAATTGTCCGCCGCTCTCGAATATGAAGCGGCTTCGCTGGCTTCTGGTGAATACAGTGAAGTAAGGACTGTAAAAGAAGAAGAACAACATGGAAATAAATTGGGACAATTGTTTCACATGATAAAAACCCTTATTTAGAAGCAACCGAAGACTATTAGGTGCTGGAATTGCGGTGAAATGGGAAATGTAAGCAGTTCGCGCAAACGCCCAAAGAACACTACGAATCGAAAAACCGTGCCCGTGGCTGTACAGGAAGGAACGGTGTTGCCTGAAAGTAGTGAAACCATAAGAGTAACGCGGATGCAAGGAACTGTAGAGAAAGTAACGCCTGTCATGGCGGAACCTTCGAAGCGCAATGAAGGTGTTGGTAAAGAAACTCTGATTGGAAAGGAGTTGGCCACATCTGCTTAAGAAGTTACAGTACGAAGAACGTCGGTTGTCAGCGATGAGTGGGTCCCTATCAAATTTATGGAAGAACAAGAGAACGATCCTGTTTTAAAGCAGATGCAATAATGGAAAGAGGAAAAACGTCGACCTACTTGGCAAGAAGTACCGAAACTCTCCAGTAGTTAAATCATATTGGGCTCAGTGGGATTCCTTTATCCTGGAAGAAGGCTTAATAAAGCCAGTACTTGAAATTTAAAGCCAGTACTTGAAATTGATGATGGTTCCGAGAACAGAAGACAGTTGGTCATTCCAAGAAGTAGAGTAGCCGAAATACTTCGTCAGTTACACGACGGTCCATCAGGAGGATATCTTGATGTTAGGAAAACCCTTCAGAGAGTTCGGGAAAGGTTTTACTGGATGAACAGCTCCGATGATGTAAAGGACTAGTGTAAGAAATGTACCACATGTGCTATGAGTAATGGACCTTAACGAAAAAGGAAGGCTCCCATGAAAGCAATACAACGTTGGTAGCCCATTTGAAGAGGATCGCCTTAGATATTGCTGGACCATTCCCCATGACCGAGAATGGTAATAAATACATCATGGTGGTTTTTTAAGTAAAAAATACGCGCCACTTGTATAAAAATCACCAATCGATCAGTGAAAACAAAATATATATATAATTGGGAAGGTGCGGTGGTACGGTCAAAAAACGAAATACTTTATATTTTACCTTGCTATTAGATGACACACAAAAATTAATTTAAAAGTAGTAGGTACCACAAATTATTTTTATCTTCCTTTACACTTTGCCACCAGACGCTACTCATTTCATAAATACGTGTTTACAGAGCATCGTGAAAAATATAAAATCATTGAAACAGAATAACAATAAGTATCTAGGTCAATATAAACTTCGAGAGAAACTTCGGTGAAGTTGATTATAGTTAAGCGATGACAAAGGCGACCGTTTAAGAATTTATTTGTCATAAATAAAAAATAGAAATTAATTTTCTTTGTTGCCATACGATTATATAACAAAAGGAAATAAGGTCAACTGTAGAGTTTCGATATCTATCATATCATTTAAATTATAATATAACGTATTATGTAAGTACTATACTTGGGAGCAAAAAAACTCAACTGACTATAGTATATTTCGAAAATAATGTATAGTAAATTCTTAGAAAACAAACTAATTTGATATGCATATTTTAGTACGTATATTTCAGTTTAATCTACGTTATTTTCGTCTATTTAAATATACAATTTTGCAAATCATCCAGACTTATGTAAAATGTATTTACCTGCCATTGTTAAAATAATTAGGTTAGGGAGTATTCAGCCGGTCATAAACGTACTTCCAGGAATTACATATTTGTTTGCGTTCCTTCATTATTATCAGAAT